CCCCCGCTTTAAACCCCGAAGTGGAACGCCGGAGACGGCGAGGGCGGCGCAATACAATATGAATGTTAAACATAATTGTCATAACTGCGGATGCGCGAATGTCTACATATCAACCAATTATAAATTGCCACTAAATGCGTGCGCTGGTTTGAAGCATATTAACAAGTCACTGTCGATGACATGGTAGTTCCCGTCCAGTTTTGCGTACTATAAACAATGAAAAGTGTATTATATTCAAATGTTGGGAGCGTATCCATAATGATGACGAGCTATCGGTGGAACTAAAACGTCGGTCAAAGGTCAACGAAACGAAACAAATAACTGACATGCAAATGCCTCCCGTTATGATGTGCCTTTGTACCAACCTTGAACGAAATCGGTACAGACGCGTCCGTGAAATGATGTCGGATGTACAGACAGATGAAACCCAAAACATAAGTCTCCGCTTGTTGCGATAAGTACTAGATATGACCATGAGCCATAGCCATTATAGAACATACGCATGCGCAGTTATGACAACGCGGTTGAAGGCCACAGTCGGACAGCTTCAGGGTATTTGTACCATACATACCTGTTTAAAACATAAATACTTTGGTGTATGAATACACTGTTGTAATAGGGGCACTCACGGTTTACAATACTCCAAACATAGTCAATCGGAGCAATGGGAGAAATGGTATAACATAATAACAATAACTCGAACACGACTGGACTAAAACAGTAATTACAATGCCATTGCAACTGTTACCCACAATGCTAAAACCAAGAAATTACAATGAATAGTACAGAGTACATGTATTCAAAGTGGATATTTGTTTCCAAACACAATTCCTATAAAATTATAAAATTTAGTACTTTTAAATATCGTTCCATCGACAACTGTTTTATACATAACACTAACAAACATACAAGTATTGCTTTTCTGACACAGTGTGGACGAGCTCAACAAGATACACCATGCCAACAACATCTGAGTAAGTACGAACAATTTTGAACTGTACAAGAAACGCGCCCTCTGGGCGAAAATCTAAAATAGTACCAGTACATGTATGACGTATTACAAAGTGACGTAAGTACGCGACACAAAATGGCGTCGCTACGTAAGAAGTGCAATTGATTCGATTCACGCGAGACTTTGTCTGTTGATTAAACAGTGGCGAACAGAATCATACACGACTCCAGACGTTAACTGGGTAAAATATACTAAAAATATGTTAACAGGCACGCACTCGTTATGGTGACATCGGTCACACAGAACAGAGCAACGATGTCACGCAAACACATTTGATATACAGAAATTATCATCATATTTATATTATCATTATTATTTTGTATATAAAATCTACATAGTTAGTTCCCGAGTATCGCGATTGTAACCTTGTTAACCGCACAGAGAAATTTGGTACCATTAGTTTCTGTAATTTCGGATGCAATTTGGACCACTGTTCGGTTTCTTTTATCAGATTACGCCACTTTGATCCCGCAATTTGCATACACCAACACAGTACGCAAGTAGCAAACAGGTGAAAGTAGAGAAACAAAATGTGGCGCCTAAGCGGTCGGAACTCTCGTTATTACGTATATACATTTTGTTCAATGAATCGTCCCAAGATTCGACGGACGCATATTCGTCCCTAATTTACATACACATGGTTAAACACGAATAGGGTATGTATACATACATACATATATATATATAGAGAGAGATAAATAGAAACACGAAAATATAGGGGTATAATAAAAAAAAATATAAAAAAACGAAACTAAAAAAAAAATCAATTCAAACCCGGCACACAATAAAAAAGACCTTAATATATAACATATAAAACAAGGTAGTAGGTACTTGTAGTCCTTGGCAATTATTCAATAGAAGTACCCCCATCTCAATAATATATATTATTGGAAAAGGATACTTTGTTCCAAACGTCTGGATATATTGAATAATTACCAAAGACTACAATTACCTACTCCCATTTTCTATATATTTTATGTATCGGTCCTAGCAGCTTTCATCCATTTTGAATCATTAACATGTAATTAAATCAAACAGCGTCTCTTTCAGGGGAGATTTCATTGGTTGAATTGAATATGTGATTTTCCGTCAGTGCGAGATCTCGCATATTGCGTGAAATGCGCGAACCAAGCTTTTGCCGCAAAAATGAAAATTTTCAGAGAGGAATATTGCGTTGAGATACCCCTCATTTTCATAAATATTGTGTATAGCACAAACGCCACTCGCCCTACTGGCACTCAGTTTGTGCTACAAAAAAAAAAAAAAAAAAAAGCTTGGCAATCCTTTGGTAGCCATCTTTAAAAGTTCTCCACTGTGAGGCATCGACCAATAAACGGCAAGCATACAATAGCCTAGTGACAGAGATATATTCGTAGAAATATAACTCTGCGTTGGAGATTGTATGATGACATGACCTGTTTTCACGTTTGATTGCACGCATAACGCGGGGTCTCGCACTGAACGAGAAAATAGTCTATTGTGACGTGATATCATGGCAGTGTTTTGTTATTTGCAGCGTGATGGCGAGAATAATTACATTTGAAATTCACCTTCACTGCTCACTTATTAAAACCTTTTCACATTTTGTCACAATGTATCACACAGAAAAAAAAGCTGGATACAAAACGTGCAAATGGTATTGCTCTCATGACCTTATGTACATATATGCATACAATTTGCATACATAATAAGACCAACAATTGAGTGGGCCACGTGACCTGGAAAATGATTAGGATTTTCGGAGGACAAATATACTAACCATCAGTGTGGCAGATTCGTGATATGAGCGAAAACAAACAAAATAATTTTTGAGGTTAGAAAAAAATGCACTCAAGTATCAGCCTCCACTGAGATTTCATTTAGCTTTTTCACGAAACATAATGTGTGCGTGGTCTTCTGGTGACATGAATCAAGACTCAATCACTTTCTGGCTGATCTTAAAGGGCAGTAGGTTGCACCGTCTCATTCTCTCTTCCCATGATCGTACACTCGATGTCATTACTTTTTGTTTCTCTTGGTTTCCCAACGGATCTTTCCTCGTCTTCACTATCGTCGTCATCGTCATCGTCGTCATCATCATCATCGTCGTCGTCATCGTCACCGAGATCCTTGGCGAGCGGATAGTGTAAAGTCGCAGACGCCACGCCGTGACTAACGCAGTTCACTCCGGTTCGAATTGCGTCCCTAAAAAAACAACATTGAAGAAATTCCAAATATATTAATTTATGTTCCCATTCATTCAGTACGCATGCGAGGACGTTTCAGAATGTGTTGTTATTGTTCTAGATATTTGAAGGTGTAAGTTATTTCAAGGTCTGCATAATCATCAACTTATGAATATTCATGATATATATATAATTTACAAAAAATTCCGTATGAAATAAAGTCTCAGAGGGCGTTTGCGGTATAACAGTATGACACTTTATGAGAACAAAGAGATTTGATCTTAGCCAGACTCTGAAAATTTCGTCCATATAAAGTCCTTCATGGGGCATTCTGATTGGTCACAAAGCACTAGGTACATTTTAACTACATTACGTTAATTTTTCGAAACAATACGACAGATTAACCGCCTTATTCAATTTGTAAAACAATATTTGGTACTTACAACAACCACTCCATTGTTATGAGCAGACCAACAGCTTCGATAGGAACACCAGTAGTTGTACAGATTTGTACGATACTCACTAAGCTAGCGCTTGGTACCGATGGCTGACTAAACGCTATCACCATGGTGAGAACGCTGAAATAAACACAGATTTCCAGTAAGTATTTGAAATACAAATTAGTCACGCCCTCTATCATCGATGCGATTCTGTGACGACAAAGCAAAAACGTTTTTTCTAAATTAGTCATTGACGAGTGACTTCATATCGTAACAAACTCGACGATGCGAACAAGTTCCCTGTCACAGGAATGATTCGTCACCAGGGGGCGTCACAGTGATATATTCTCGACCGTTTGACAACTACACAACACATTGTTAGCGGTGATATTTTTGCCGAAATCGCGTTCATTTCAGTTCATGATCACTCCTATACAATGTAAACAAATATCTGCGTTCATTTACTAAAATGTGATGTACAAATTTGGGCTATATGGAAAATGTACCCAATGTATACACTTGTTTTTACCAAACACTACACTTAACTAATCAACAATGAATACATTCATGGAGGTTACTTACGCCATAACAACAATCTGCCCCACGTTCAGACTCATTCCAGCGCCCTGGGCTAAAAAGAGACACCCGGATATGATAAACATACAAGAGCCGTCACGGTTAAAGGTACAGCACAGAGGCAGTACGAAACTGTTGACTTTCTTGTTAACGTTATGGTTAACTTCGAGGCATGTCATAAGAGTCGGCAGAGTGGCCGCACTGTAAAATAGAAAGACAGCAATTTTTCGAGTGTTATTATACTGTACATCGGTTCACACTAGTAATTTAATGGCATTAGCACTTTGTGTCATTACATATGCATGGTGAATTAGCATAATTAACTTTTGAGCGCTATTCCACAAAATATTTCTGTACAGTCTGCTCCTGACAGCAAAAAGCCAATGTCAGATACTGTCTGTGTGATTACAAATTATGTTGAAATTTAGGAAAAAAATTGTAAAATGGGTAAAAATTTACGTTGAATTTTTAGCGGGAAACATATCTGGCGGTCGAAGAGTTAACCATTTCTATTTTGTCACGTTACAAAACTCGTTAAAATTACCCGACTACTGATTACAGGACAATCTGAGCAAACTAAACATGGAAGTTCAGCAACATTTGTTAAAAACAAAGAAATGGAACATACTGCCATGACAAGTGACACACAGTGCATGACGTCATCACAACCTACCTGCTTTTAGTAATCATGGCAATCAAAATGGCGTCTATATACTTCCAGTAAACTTTATATAAGATTTTTCTAGCGACAATGAAATGTATCAACGGCAGGGTGACGAAGACGTGAAACGTTTCTCCAATGATACTTGCAGCTGAAAATAAACCTAAAGATTTCCAGACGGACGAAATGTCACCAACTCGCAACAAAGAGACAGCTATTAAACTGGCGGTTCCAAAAGGCAAAGTCCTACAAATAAGCAAGCGGTATCATGTTAATTCTTACGAACGTGGTCTTCAATTTGTTATCACCAGTCAATGAAAACTCTCGTTTTTCAATTTCAAAAATCAGTGAACAACTGCGATTAAAGCCTGTAGTAGCCGTCACATCATACTTACTCATTATCAAAATGCGTAATCCTTAAAAAAGGAGTATTTTTAAGTCAAAGAGTGCAAAACAGAAAACTCATAAACAGTGTAGTAGCATAAATGTATGGATTCGAGGTGCAGCATATACTAACATGGCCATAAGCTGATGCAGACGACAATGTCACAAAGAAACCCCCTAACTTACCACATATACGCGGTCAATATCTTGAATGTTATGACTCGTAGAGACATCAATACTTCATACATGGTTCGCGTGTGCTCCCTATCCACACTCATCGCCATACCAAACATAATACAGAAGATCACAACACCTATATTTGGACGAATTTATATTTAATTTGTATTGGTTATTATTCCCTGATCTACGAAGGCACGATATTTAGAACAGTAGATTCGACGATGTAGAAAATGGAACATTGTCTGAGTGGCAATAATAAGTCTCGTGGCACTCTCGTTCTTTACGAGATATCGGCAGCCATTTTTATTAAAGTGCTGCAGACGTCGATCGTGTTCTTGCACAATATTAGTATTCAAAATAAGAGGATATTTACAGCCCATGTCACATTGTATATGCCGAATTATGTTCACCGTAGAAACAAATCAAACACAAAGAGCAAATAATATCTTTAAATATAACCGCAGACATTCTAGAACGTCCATAGGCCAATTCAAGACAGCCATGGTACAATGTTCAGTGGATTTTATTTTTTCATGTTTGTTATCTTGACACAAACTCAAAATATCAATATATGATACGAGTGATTTGTGTTTTAGTCTGTGCTGAATAATCTCAATCTCAAAATAATGCAAAACATATTTTTAGAAGATTCCACAGCGGATGACTCAGAAAAATGTGCAGGCGAGAAACTTACCGAGTAAATCCATTGGTCCTCCGACTTCTTTGTACTTCCCAGTCACGACGGAGATTGTCTCATTCGTGCCATTCACGCCTTCAACGACTTTATCGACTGTGTCGTACTTGGTGAAAGTCTGTGGACGATATAATACATTTGAATATTACCACTAAAATTGTTAAATCACGTGTTTCTTTCAAACATATAACATTTCACTAACGATCCATCACTGACATACGATTGAATGCCGGTGCACAATAAACGCGTGTATTCAAATACATCCTGACACGAACATTATGTTTTCTTTTGCAATTTGTATTTGCATTCTGTTAAACATGACAAATGCAAGCATGACACATAGGCCAGGGTACTCACCGAATGTATGCATGCCATTATGATGTTATCGGGAATTAAGTTTCTGTAGGAGAAATGGAAAAATAGCATTAATTCATTAAACAAATCGGGATTGCTTGGTTGCTGATCGCCCCCTATAGATAGGATATTGTTTAGTAACACACATATTAGATGCTACTACACAATTTACTACCTATAGAGGGCGATAGTACGCCGCATACATTAATGCACACAGAGCGATATGTCAGGTCACGACGGAGACCATTCTTCGGAGCATGGAGTTTTCCATCTGTCTGAGCATCTTTACTACGCCCTTTTAAAACGGCAATCGTTGAGCATGTATAAATAGGTTTTACCTCATAATACATCTTGATAAAAAACGTAGATTAAATTCACAAAATAGTCAAGTTTATGATCTGAGCTTTTCTGCAGAAGATTGGGACAAAATTAGCCAAATTGTTCGATAAAAACTGAAAATTTTGTCTGTTGGCCCCAAAATTGGGGTTCATTCGCAGAAATATTAAAGAATATGAGAAAAAGTGCAGAAAAATTGGAGCGGTGGTGAAAAGTTTAAACATCAAATGAAAACTGCTATACAATGTACTTATTTCATGTTAATGATGTTCATCAAGATCCAACCAAATCACAGTGAAAATATATAGCTCCTTACCCGTGATTTATGGTGAAATTTACATTATATAATGGCGACAGACAGAATGAAATAGCTGTTAATCTACCGAAAACGTTGGGTATATTTGTTTTGAAGTGAGAGCGGAGGTGTTCATCTATTTTAATGTTAGTGTGGGCCCAAGTATAATGCCCCATTGTAGAACAATAATACTTTAATATCCTCGGGCGGACATCCGGGCAATTTCACGGCCTGGCAACCATCGCGGTGAAAACAAAGGCCAAAAACTCGCAAAAAACTGTACTTTGGGATGATTGTTGATACTACCCTGAACAGCGTAACAAGATTAGCCCTGCGTGTGTAACATATATAAATTTGGTTGTTCAGGATTACATCAAAGTTAAGTTTGTGTTTTTTTTCTCGAATTTTCACCGGCTCGACCGGCGTTCCACAGCAGCGCGCACAGAGCCCGTAAAAATGCCTAGTACAGTGGTGCGCGTCTCAGCAACGTGGAACGTATTGTGACATAGCTCCGCCCCCGAGGACAGTTCCCTTATAAACTAAATAACTGTATGTTGTTCAATAAACTTTGGATATATGATGTCAAGGCAATAAAACTCTGAGGACTGAGGCTAGATTAAAAAAATCATAATCAGGAAGGGCACGAAGAAAAAGTTATCCACACTGCCTCTGTACATCCTTATCTCACAAATCACATAACAAATGTGTTTACCTAAACAAATCAGCAAATACGTCTGTTGTTTCGTATTTGGACGGACTGTATGTAACGTTACCGCTGTACGAAGAACCTGGCTGAATGATTGACGTCAGCAACAATCCCGTCATGCAACTGATGAAAAGTACGGTCCAGATGTAGCCAAACGTCATGATGCCCATCTTACCGTTGAGTCGTAGATCCAGCGTTGCCACCGCTGTAAGAGTGTACAATGTTAGTATTGAAATATACTGCCCTCTGTCGGCAAGGACTATCAAAAACATATAAATACATCAAGACAATGAAGGGGGAACTGATGGTACATACTTATTATACAAAGAGAATGCACATTTGCGAAGTTTAGTACTTTTTTGTAAGGAAAGCAACACTATATGACGCAGTGATAAAGAAAATATGTAAATATGAAATAGTATTTTTTAAAGCGATTCGAAGACTGGCGTTCAAATATTGTTCAGTCGGCACAGGTGGCGGCAGATGGCAACGCTAAGATTCGAGAGCTTGATTTATGGATACAGTGTTGCAGTGGCAAATGCCAATAATGGCAGTCTGGGTTGTTCCTGATTGGACAGAAGCTGATAGAATGGATGCTGATTGGTCCATGGATTATTCAGTGCGGGGTTACGTCAAGTTGTGGGAAGAACCAGTGGAAAACTCAGGCTTAGGGAAGGAGGTCAGCTACCCCTTCCTCCAACAACCAATAGTAATTTTGTTAACACATTCTCTTTTTGCAAGTAAATTTTACACCAGGCGATTTGGAAAAAAAAATTGCGCCTACAGAGTTTCTATTTTTCTTTCGGCTTTTAAGATGAATTATGTGCTTCATTTTTTTGGTAGCATGTACTAACTTGTTTATGATATTACGTTCACCAGAAATCTACTTTAATATTTTATTCTAGTATAATATTGTAGTTAGTACGACAACATGCACAATAAAGCAGCAAGACAACACCCTGTACTTCCAGTACTGTGTATTTCATTGTGTGCGATATCAAGAACGAAAGTTTAATGTTTCCTACACAGCGCCACAAGTGGCGAGTTTGAAGGATAATCACTTCGCGTCTATGCTTACCTGTCGTCACGCAGGAGACCACGAGAGGTAGAATTGCTAGTTTGAGCCCACGGAGAAACAACTCCCCTGGTAAACCTATCCACATCAACGCGTCTTCGGATACATTGGCATCCTGAACAACAAAAACACGTAACTTCAGTGAAAGAGTTGAAATAGAAACTTCTACCTTCAGCCATTCAGGGTAGTTAGAAGTTATGAAACCCAAATTACTTTGCGGAGTGCGACAAACGTTGATAATTACGGCGAAAGTGTTCACTGTAGCCTATGTAATTCATAGACCATGTCAGAAAATAACCTTAAAAGGCGGCAGTCGTCGTGCCGCGTCCTGTTCGATATGGGACTCATAGCGACGTATACAACGCGTGTAAAATACATTGTTTATTTACATGAAATTCGAACACGCGCTGCGCGACGACCACGAAATGGATTTTTTTTGTCGTATTTCTGCTGTCTTGGGGTGGGGATTTAGAACTATCGCCCTCTATGTGTAGCCCTAGGTAAACTTACCTGCAATGCAAATCCCAGGATGAAACCGACAGCAACACCGACAAGCGTGACAAGAAGAAGGAGATTGTCTAATGCCCATTGCCTCAGGCATTCACCAGAGCAGGCGATAGCTGGTGGACCGACACCCTTACATATATTGCAGCCTTTGACCATTATGACGAGTTTGGTGTACGGTTTCTGAAATAGGAGAGAGTAGATCACAGTTAGTCATAAATCACGTGGGATAGAGAGCAGGGCAGCTGACGTTCCGAGTTACGCGTACTCTCCAAGTTTATGAAATGACATCGTCTTCAAGTCAATGTCACTGTCAGAACTTGATGTTGCAATAATAGTAACTGCAGCATTAGTTCAGTCGAAACGAATTAAAAACGATCTGGCTTTGTCTACGAAATAACACATAGGTAGGACTGTATGGTCGTATTATTGTCAACGATGATAACATGAGCTATGATTAGAAAGGTACTGATAATGTCCATATTATATGTATCGAATACAATGCGATGTTGAAAAAATACGACTCTTTGCAATTCCCCATTACACACTTACGGCCCTTATTAAACGTTATTAGCAAAGGTCAAATTGGCGACGTGTAGGTACAGTTGGACCCTGGATCGGCGGTGATCAAAATCGTCCCCAGTTTTAACACTAAGACTCAGTGTTGATTCGATTGTTTGGCAAGCAAACTGTGATGCGAATACAAAGAGTGGGTCGAAGCACGAGTTTCCTTGGTGTGGCCATGGAGGTGTTTTACCTTCATGGTGAGGCAGTGTTTCTTTCAGAAGTCAGAAAATTGCATACATTTAGTGTAACAACGAGTACAATGGGTAACAACAGTGTATTCTACAATATTTGGTTAAAAGACGTTCACATTAAATGGACGGTAAATATATACTGGTATTGTACAAGAAGTAAATGCAATTCAGGAAAAATAATAATACTGCATCAACTGGGAGATATTAGAACTTGTTCCCGTGGTAATAACGATTGTACCACATCTCTGTGACGTCATGTTTCACCCTGGTCACCATTTTAAATGGGAAAATATCGACTCAATATATAGGCAGGCTGTCAGTCGTGCAGAGTAGGATTGTAACATGTCTGAGAAAACTACACAAATGCGTTAATAGTGTCCATCTAGGGTGGTCGATGTGCAACGCGCGAATTTCGTGTAAACAAACACAAAACAAATAAACAAACAATGTATCGAATACGACGCACCACGATGACTAACGCGATTTAAAGATGCATTATAATACTAAGTAGACACACTACATTACTTTACGATATTGTGCATTTGTTTGACCATGTGCACTCATTGTGCTCGTACGTACATAATAATCTCTACGCATGTGTAATAGTGTTGTTTCATTTTCATCGAATCAATACTGTTGTGTGTGCGGCGGGCTTTTGAAAATTACGGATAATTATCTACATGCGGTAAAAATATTGATTGTTCATGTTTCGTCTCTAATGCAACTTTAAATGATATAGTCATCACGATACTGCATTTGAAAAACAGTGTTCAAAATACTAATACGTCATAACAATAAACAAGGTCATACATAATACACGAACGAAATCTATCTCAAATCCAAGATACCCTGAGCCACAGCGCCACCGCCAGGTCATTCTAAACAAGAATCAATACACCAGAATGATTTTAAGTTCTCACATACCAATCCACCAGACGCTAGTACGAACGCAACAAGGGTCCGAGCTGTGCGAGCCTGAGTGTGTCGGAACTTAGCTTTACTGACCAAACTACACTCCCGTCTGTGTAAGAACTGGGCCTTTCATTGTCATGCTCCACGCAAAGCACTCGTACAACCATGAACTATGAGTTCGGAGCTTACAAGACCACTCGACTGAGACTATTTTTATACACGCGAACATAAAAATTAGTATTTGCGGTGTCACGGAACGACGAGAAACATTCCATCAACATTTAAATCGAGTCTGCTAGATTTCTCTCCTCTCAAGGACTTTCAGTTGATCTTTGAGATAAGCATCAACTGAATGGATGGATGGGTTGTCTTATTTCTCGTGTAATTGAAATTCCCCCCAATCATTTCCTAACATAATAACTTAGTTAACAATCCCATGCCTCCCAGTGGATCAGAATTTTAATGAAGATTTTATTTTTATCGAGTAGCCAGGAATTAAATAACGTATTTCTGTGCAAAATCAGGACAGGATTTGATTAATATGCGGATTGGATTTTCCGAGACTGTTTTATTCTATTTTAATCGAGTTCTTATATACGTGTCATTTTTTATGATGAATTAGTTACTATCGTTACTTAGAACTAATACTCATAACTCGTTTATTTAAAACCGCAAATAATGAAATAAATGCTGTTAAACAAAGAACTTCTTACTATTTCACACAATTGTTGTGAGTATTTTTCTCAATTAATGAATCGCAAAAAGAAGGCAAACTGTTCGGGTATGTAATATCGTGTGATTAATTGCGCGAGTTGTGGGATCGCAGCGCCCGCTAAGACACCCTGTGACAACAAAGAGTACAGAATGCCCATACGACAACTGAGCAGACTAAACGGCGTTCACGAACCGCATAATCAACCAATCAGGCTTTAAGACGCCATCTTTGCAAATGATAAACACGCGCTCATTGGTTGTAAATGAACCAATCACAAATACATTACCAATTCTCGCCGCCGTTGCCAGACTCAATTATATTGCACTGGAAGTTATTATATTATTAGCCGGGATCCGTTAATGTGATTAGCAGAGCGTAAATATTATCCCTTCTCCTGCTGAGATTTTCAATGCTGCCCGGCTATAAAAAGCACCAACATATAATTCATTACCCCTAATTGAAATTTTATCTGCCCGTGAAGACCGCGGAATAATGGCTAATGGAAGACTTCATTTCACTGAACGGGGGGGGGGGGGTTGGAAGTGGGTGGGTGCATTGTGGAGAGTTATGTTCTGTAACGAGAGTTGAGTCGAGATTTCTTTTGTTTTTTACATATACACATGTCGTGTATACCGTTACCAGATACGGGGATCCTCTTTAATTTCCTACTCCCCGCAATTTCTTGTTGGTGCGTTCCTCATCTGTGAGTAGTCGTCTACAGATAACATTATTGATTTCGGAGTCGTGGTAATGTCAGTGGCTGTGTTTTCACAACCTTAAGAAAACACAAAGAAAAAACAAACTTTGATATCATTGGGTGTTTTCTGTTTTTGTCAGAAAAAACTGATACAAGTGACTAGCAACAATTGTGTTACGAAACTGATTTCAGTCAAATTGGTGTCCATGCGCATGTCCATTCACCTCTAATCTTCATGGTTCGAGTATACTAATTCGATGACTTACTGACTCGTTCTCGTAATGAAAATTCGTTCTACGGTTCAACCTTTAGATGCTGAGATCCAATCACAAAGTAAAACCACGTAACTTTTTCTATATTTTTCTACAAAAAAAAAGACAATGTCCATTTGCCCAAAAATTGACGAAGAGGTGTCAGAAAGAACACATAAACATTTGCAAAACATTGCAACGAAATTACCGCAGGGAAAACAACGACGCTCGAAGTATTGAATTAAGTTTCAGTTCGTTTTCTAGGGACTGATCAGAGCACGAATCCCTACAAGTTTAAAATACAAAAAACAAAAACAAACATACAATCAAAACACTGGAAACTGGCAACTCCACTTTGAGTTTTCGTTTCAAGTTGACACGATCTTCAAAATGATTTGGCTCAAGATTCATTTAAAAAAAACATTGTTGATGGAATTGTGTAAAATAAAGCGCCAATGCTTCAAGACAATGACGTAATTCAGCGTGCGGTAGGTCGGTTTCACGTCGGGCTGGGGGTAGTAGGTATTACGTGAAAGCGCCTTCAGGTTATCCTCTTGCATACAAGTTGTGAACGGCATATATGTGATCCCATACAGGGTTCAACTATTTGAAATCATGGGAGGGGGCTGGAAGAGTGTAATCTGTATATTTTGTTATTCGCTGTATCTCTTTAATTCATCTTTAAAATACCAACATTTTTGTCATGCATTTTTTTCCCCAAAAGCCAAGCATACAACTATTTTTTCAATAAATTTTCTGGCCTTCCCAGCGATTTTAAATGGTCGATCCCTAAGATTATTTCCAGATGAAGGATAGCATTATTGAAATACACATTGAATTGACACTGCAGTAAATCACGTAAATAAGTTCCGATACTGCCCTCGGGTCATTCCGGAACTTTGCGAAGGTCAGACCATCCCCATGATTAGCCGGAGATCAGAGGTAGAGACCTGTGTACGCGCAAGACGAATGGTGCCATGTGCGGCCTATAAATTCCAATCATTCGGTTAAACTATCATCCAGTCTACTCGTTTTGTAGGGGTCTCCATATATGCCACGTAGCTATGATCTGCCTATGAAGGAATGCTAGGCTAATTCGAAGCTAATAAACGAGATTAACAGTTGTGAAGCAAAAGCATTTGTGTTACTAAGCACGAGCCACAGGCGTATCACACCATTTGCTATAGTATCCAATTTACGTCATAACTTCAAACAAACAACGCCGACATATTCTACATTGAATTGAAATGTCCGATGATTGTTATTAGTTAATTTTAAAGGACGGCAGTCGTCGTGCCGCGTCCTGTTCGATATGGGACTCATAGCGACGTACACAACGCGTGTAAAATACATTGTTTATTTACATGAAATTCTAACACGCGCTGCGCAACGACCACCGCGCTTTAACAGTCGAGACACTCAGTAGCATTGAGAATGTTAAACTCGTCATTTTATTTAGAGTTTCTGCACAGATAGAATACCCATGATGACCAGCTTCACTTTATGTTTGACTATTTTCACTATTTTGAACGCTATAATGCGAACATGTTTTTAATGTAGAATATCTGAGAACATACCCCCTCGACTATTTGCGTGTGTACAGAACGGTGTTGGGATGTTCAGGCAAATATTTCAGGGAATTGTGTGCAGCATGGAGCTCCATGTGTGTAGCTCGCTGACTTGTTAGTGAATGACTTGTTTGTTTGTTCATAGTATTATAATGCTGAGCATTGACTTTAATAGTACATAAGTTTTGGATTCATCTACCCCAGTTATAGGATATGTCTGTGAATTAGTAGAGAATTTCCCTTATGTCACGAAATGATCTAATCTAATAGAGGTCCACCCAAGGTACATGTAAATGTACACCAAGTATCAATTCAATCAAACTAGCAAATCATCAATAAGGAGTCATATAGTATTTTTGACCAAAAATATTCGCTAAAAATAGAGAATTTAAGATATTGTCACGAAATGATAACATTTCATAGAAATCCACCCAATGAACATGTGTACCAAGTATAAATACAACAGAGTTGACAGTTTTCAGGAATAGTTTGTAGAAAAAAAAAATTAAAGAATAGCTGCCATTGAATTTTCGTATTTGTTCTTATCGAAATCGCAAATTTCGATGTGTTTTTCTACATAATTGTTGATATCCGACAAAAATGACATCATTTTTAATTGGCTACATCTTTGGGTTAAAGATTTATAATATGGAAACGAATTCAGCATGTTTATTTTGCGAAAGCGACGAAAGTTGACTATTAAAGCGTACAAAAGGTCAAACGATTAAATTCTGCGTTGAGATCGGTTAACACAGTGGAGTTCACGTGCAAGTTAGAATACAGTGTAGCAAAGTACAAATCTTGTCGGTGATTTCACGCATTAAAGTTCAGTGGATTATTGAGAGGGTGGAGTTATTTCAAG